CTCACGTTTTTTTTTTTTTTTTTTATGCCGACGGAAATATGCGCTGGCCCCGCCCCTTTATGTCTCGTGTTCTCCTCGAGTTGCGCCGCAGCTCAGCAGAGCTCAGTTTACATCAAAATGATCCACAGATCCTCCATTCATTGATCCGATCAGCCCCTCACCAGCTGGAGGGAACCCCCCCCCCCGCCCCCAGCAGCCCCCCCAGAATAACCTCCAGGCGCGATGAGGCGAATAACGGGAAGAGAGAAGGAGGAAACTTTGATCGAGCTGCAGAGCGCGCCCGACTCCCAGACTACAGGTAACAATATCTAGATTTATTATTTGCATGATGTAATTTATATTTACTGTTTGTCACAGCAGTTGGTGTTTGTGTCATGAGGACTGTGATGATGAAGCTGCTGGAGGTGAAGCAGTGAAGCAGTGAAGCAGTGAATCAGTGAATCAGTGAATCAGTGAATCAGTGAAGCAGTGAAGCAGTGAATCATGAAGCAGTGAAGCAGTGAATCGGTGAAGCAGTGAATCAGTGAAGCAGTGAATCAGTGAAGCAGTGAAGCAGTGAAGCAGTGAATCAGTGAATCAGTGAATCAGTGAATCAGTGAATCAGTGAATCAGTGAATCATGAAGAAAAGAAGCTGCAGTTAGAAAAACATTTGAGTCTTGAACAGGTTTTTATCCAGAAACCTTTTTTTTCTTTCTACATTTGAAGCGTCTCCTTCTTTCAGAGTTTCTGTTAATCTAAAATACAGTGGTGGTGATGATGATGATGGTTGAGGAGCTGCTTTACTGGGCCCACAGTCATTCAGTACTGGGATGAACCAGCGTTGTGGCGACACAAATAAAACCCTGGTTTCAAACGGATCAGCCGTCTCAATAATCTTTTCAGTTTCTTTTGTTCGATGAACAAATAGAACTTGACAAACACAAAATTCATATTTTCACACCACAAAGTTTATTTTGTTCCACCAAGAATGCCCCATTGACCGAACCGATGAGAGGCCTGCAGGCAGCGCTTGTTGGACAACCTCTAGACTGAGGAACAGCTTCTACCCTCGGGCTGCTCATGCTCACTGTGATGCCACTCGAGTGTTGATATGTGCTGCTGATGATCCATGCTGCTGATTTTTCATATCTGCTCGCATGGACTGATGTTCGTGCTGCTGTTCGGCGAGTTGTTTCAGTGCATTCTTGTTCATATCTTGGATCTTATTACTGGTTTTCTTTGACATTTTATTCTTGGATGTAACTGGGACCATGGGTGCGCAGCTTCGCTCCACCTCATCTACCACACGTGGTGCGAATGACAATAACGAACAATGACCTTGAACATACTCCTTCAGAAAAACCCAGGCCCAACCCAGTGCTTGAACCCAGGACCTTCTTGCTGTGAGGCAACAGTGCTAACCACTAATCCACCGTACTACCAAATGTGTTTTCCTGTTTAAGCTGAAAACGTGAGCTCCAGAAGATCAGCTGAAGGATGCTTCTTCCAGGCTTGTGTCAGGAGTCAAAGGATGTGACGCTTCATCTGCTGCAGAGGGGGTTTGGGTTTCAGACGCTTCTTCTTTTGTTTGTTCATAAGAAGACATCACAAGGACCGGGGAGGACACGAGTTCAAAGATGAACAGCAACCAAAGTCCTAAGAAAACTTTTCAGAGACCTCCAGAAAGTCAGGACCACGTTATTAAAGTCTGGCTCGTTGCAAGTGAAACATGAAATGATTGACAGGTGAGTTTAACCGGAGCGTAGTTTGTGATGAGCTCTCAGGACCAGCGAGTGTCGCCTGGTGTTTGTGGGTGAGTTCTGGTTCTGGACACGAGCGGTATCATCTGACCTGGCACAAGAAGATCAGCTGATGTCACAGCAAACATTTGACCTGTGAAGGTCCGTCACAACCTTTGGACCCTCTTTGTATTTCACTGGAAACTTCTCTGTAGATTGAATCAACAGGTTTTTCTCAACTACAAGAGAAGATTTTCACCTGAACCTCTCGGACTGGAAGTAAAACCAACTTTACTGAAAAGCTAATCGTCCACTACTTTAATCACCTGGTACAGTGATGGCAGAAAACTTTCTGGAGCTTCTCTGCAGACGTGCTGATCTGGCCTGCTGTGGGATCTGATCCTGGTTCTGTGTTCTGCAGAACTGCAGAGACCAGCTTGCTGTGCTTATATGAGCAGAACGCTACAGCTAGCCACGCTTAGCGGACACAACAACGTCTATACGTCAGAGTTGGACAGATTTAGAGCCAACACAACGTTGTTGTCAACGTTTGCTCCACACAGCTGCACGGTTTTTACGAGCGGTTTCTCTTCCTGTTGAAACGGAGTCATACCTTCCCACTGTCGCCTCACACTTGCTCAGGAAGAGAGGATCACAATGAAGGTAAGTTTTAAACAAGCCTTTCTTTGGGATCTGTTCCACGTTGACCGGCATCATATCATTAAATGATGATGTGAATCTTTCTTGGGACTGTTTTCATACTAGTTTCATTCATTTAGTAAAAAAACACGCTCCACTTCACCAGCCCAGAGGACAGGCTCGGGACAGCCTCTGGTTTACTTCTGAGTTAGTCGACCTCTTGTACAGGAGGGACCAGCTTTGGGCAACAGCAAGACAGACTGGTTCAGACACCCACTGGTTACACTTGTGTCAGTTACAGAATGTTTGTACATCTTCCATTAAAGCTGCAAAACAAAACTTCTATCTCAGACCACCAACAATCTAAACGATCCGGAAAACTATTAAATCTCTTGATGGCAGCTCTCACTCATGTGACCTACCACCACAATTATTTGTCGACTCTGCTCCTGTGTCAGAGAAGCATGAGATGATAAATTGTTTCAACAAACCTTTTGTTGTCTCCAGTTCCTTGTTTAATCCAGTTTCTAAAGGTAAACCACCTCCAGCAACAAGTCAAACATCTGTAAACCATACGTTCTGTTTGTCACCGTTCTGTCAGTGAGGTTACCAAACTGTTCAAAGATCTGGACACTAGAAAACCTGCAGCCCTGATGACCTCCTCCTGACTTCTGAAGTCTAGCTGCACAAATTATAGCAGAACCGGTGTCTTACATTTTATAATAATACTGTCCCAGATGTTTGGAAAACAGCTGTTGTGCTGCCATTATTGAAGGAAGGAGACCCCACTATACTGAACATTTATCCACCAATCTCCAAACTCTGTATTTTAGCTCAGGTTTTATAAAAACTGATAAATACTCAAATCAAGAAGTATTTGGACTCTTAATATTTTATCTTTTCTCCAGTCTGGCTTCAGGAAACAACACAGCACAATGATCGCTTCGCTAAAGGTTTTTAATGATGTTGTTGAAGCTTTGGACACTAAGGATTACTGAGCTGCACTTTACTTACACCTGTCCAAACCTTTGATACCGTAGATCATCACATCTTCTGACACAAGATCTCAGATATTGACTTCTCAGATCTCACTGTTGGCTGGTTCTCAAACTATCTCTCAAGTCGGAGGCAATGTGTTCAACACAATGGTACTTCATCCTCACCTAATGGTCACCAGTGGTGTGCCACAAGGCTCAGTTTTAGGTCCCACTCTTTTTACAATTTACATAAATAACGTAGGTCAAAACATTCCTGACACATCGTTGCATCTCTATGCCGATGACACTGTTGTTTATTGTCGAGCTAACACAGTTGCCAAGGTTTTCCAGCTTCTACAGTCTGCATCTGACATCATCCAGTCAGACTTATTCCACCTCAAACTGGTGCTAAACGCTGACAAAACCAAAGGGATGTTGTTTTCTAACAGGAAGTCGGTCCCAGCAACTCTTCCTTCTATCTCATCCATGCATGGTGTTCATATTGAATTTGTTGATTCCTATAAATATTTGGGAATTTGAGTCGATGCACATCTCTCTTTTAAAGCACATGTTGAAAACTTGATAAAGAAACTGAAATTAAAACTGGGTTTCATTTTCAGAAATTGATCTTGTTTAACTCTGAATGCCAGAAAACACCTTGTAACCTCTACCTTCCTACCGGCCATTGACTATGGTGACATTATTTACATGAATGCTCCTTCCAGCTGCTTGCAGATGTTGGATTCTGTCTATCATGGTGCACTGATTCATAACCTGTTGTAACTACCGTACCCATCACTGCACCCTGTACTCCTTGGTCAGTTGGTCATCATTATCTACATGTAGTCTCTCACACTGGTTCATCTTCATCTATAAATCCCTCCTTGGTCTGCTTCTTTCTTATATCTCCTCCCACGTCACACCGTCAGTGCAGTTACAGCGTGCGCTCTCAGTCCATCATTACCTGCAGTGTTCTATCAGTGCGGACTGAACTGGGCAACAAGACCTTTTCCTGCTCAGCTCCTGCACCTGGAACATCTTGCAACAGGAACTGAAGTTGTCCTCCTTGATTTCATTACGGGGTTTCAAACATTTGATCATGTCGATAGAAAAATCAATGCAGTTTGCAGACAGAACCTTGTAGTACAGTAGTCCCTCGCTACTTTGCGGTTCAACTTTCTTGGACTCGCTCTATCGAGGTTTGTGAACCTACACTACTCTACATAATATTTTCAAACAAACAAAAAAAATGCCGCCATTTTGTAGTTTTCTCTAAATAAGTCCACACTGTGATACCAGTCTAAACGACTACGTTACCCAGAAACCATTAGTTCACTTCCCAGAAGTCAACACTGCTTCCAACCGCTGCTTTCTACAAATGGAGGGAAAGTTTTGCAGCAGAGTCAGACGTTTTCATTCGACCTTTATTGAAACAGATGAGTCTTATTGATCCTCGAAGACTCAGACCAGTTTGGGCAGACAGTGGTGAAAATGACACATAGGGTTTGGAGACAAAAAAAAATCTTGCAAGTTCTGTCAGGATCAGTTCACAGGACCGGCACGAGGGTCTCAAATAATCCTGAAGCTGAACTCCTCCTTTATTGTCACTGCTGAGAAGCTGGGCTGCAGCTGATCTGGACTCTGTGTGACCCGGAACGGAACAGACGGCTGCAGAGTTCAGCCTGGTTCTGGTCGCACGGCGCTGGTCTGGATCAGGCCCGAGGTGGTGGACTAAATCCTGGAGCGGCAGCACGTGCACATCAAGCTGTATGGGGCAGTGGGCTTCTGTCAGGCTGCACCGTGACCTGATTCATCTATCGGGTCGGACAGAACCGAGCCGCTCTTGTTCTGCAGAGCCCTTTTAGTAACTACATAGAAGTATGTTGTTAAAATTAGTAAACTTAAGAGTTTAGAACTACTACTACTACCACCATCCATCCATCCATCCATCCATTATCTTTAC